ACTACAGGTGTGTACCACCACACCTGGCTAATTTTTTGCTTTCTGTAGATATAGGGTTTCACTAAATTATACCCAGGCTGGTCTTGAACTCCTGGCCTCAGATGATCCTCTCCCACACTGGCCTCTTGAAGCACTGGGATTACAGACATAAGTCACTGAGCCTGGCCCTTATTTCTTTTTCTTTTCTTTTTTTTTAAAATCAACTCTTAGTTTTGTACATCTTTTCTATTATTTTTCTAGTCTCTATTTCATTTATTTTGGACCTTGACCGGGTGGTCAAGGCTGCAGTGAGCCAAGATTGCACCACTGTACTCCAGCCTGGGTGACAAAGTGAGACCGTATCTCAACAACAACAACAACAACAACAAAAAAAAAAAGAAAGAAAAGAAAAGAAAAAAAAAGCTGTCCCATTTACAATAAAATCAAAAACAATAAAATATTTAGGAATAAATTTAACAAAGAAGGCGAGAAGTCTATATGCTGAAGACTATAAGACAGTGACGAAGGAAACTGAAGACACAAATAAATTGAAAGATACCCTATGTTCATGGATGGGAAGAATTAATATTGTTAAAATGTCCATATTACCCAACGCGATCTGCAGAGTCAATGCAATCCGTATCAAAATTTCAATGACATTCTTCACAGAAATAAAAAAAGCAGGCCAGACGCAGTGGCTCACGCCTGTAATCCTAGCACTTTGGGAGGCTGAAGCAGGTGGATCGCTTAAGCCCAGGAATTTGAGACTAGCCTGCACAACATGGTGAAAACCTGTGTCTACAAAAAATACAAAAGTTACCTGGATGTGGTGGTGCACACCTATATTCCCAGCTACTTGGGAGGCTGAGGTGGGAGGATCATCTTAACCCCAGGGAGGTCGAGGCTACAGGGAGCCATGATTGTACCACTGCACTCCAGCCTAGGTGGCAGAGGGAGACCCTGTCTCAAAAAAAAAAACAACAAAAAATCAAATTCATATAGAAGCACAAAAGATCCTGAATAGCCAAAGCAATCTTGAGAAAGAAGAACAAAGCGGAAGGCATCATGCCTCCTGATTTCAAAGCAAATTGCAAAGCTATAGTAAACTGAAATGGTATGGCACTGGCATAAAAACAGGCACACAGATCAATGAAACAAAATAGCCCAGAAACAAAGGCATTTATATATGGTCAACTAATATTTGACTAAAGTGCCAAGAATGCACAATGAAGAAAGGACTCTCTTCATAAAGGGTGTTGGCAAAACTGAATATTCACATGTAAAAGAGTGAAATTGAACCCTTATCTTACATCATTCACAAAAATTAACTTGAAATGGATTAAACACTTAAGCGTCAGACGTGAAACCATAAAACTCCTAGAAGGGAAAATAGGGAAAAACTTCTTGACATTGGTCTTGGCAATAACTTTTTGGATGATACCCAAAACACAAGCAACAAAACCAAAAATGAGTAAGTGGGACAACATCAAACTAAAAACCTTCTGTACAGCAAAGGAAACAATCAACAAAATGGAAAGGAAATCTACAGAATTCAGAAAAATAATTGCAAACCTGGAAAGGGGTTAATATCCAAAATGTAAATGGAACTCATACAACTCAATAGCATAAACCAAACAACAACAAAAAAGAAACAAATGATTTTAAAATGGGCACAAGGACCTCAATAGTCATTTCTCCAAAGAAAACAATACAAATAGCCAACAGGTACATAAATCGGTGCTGAACTGATCAGGGAAGTGCAAATCAAAACCACAACGAGATATCACCTCACTCCTCTTAGGCTGGCTATTGTCAAAAAGACAAGATGACAAATGTTGGTCAAGATATGGAGAAAGGGAACCCTTTCACAATGTCAGTGGGAATGTAAATTGATATAGCTATTATGAAAAAAAGTATGGAGATTCCTCAAAAAAATTAAAAATAGAGGTACCAGCCAGGCATGGTGGCTCATGCCTGTAATCCCAGCACTTTGGGAGACCAAGGCGGGTGGATCACCTGATGCCAGGAGTTCAAGGTCAGCCTGACCAACATGGTGAAACTCCATCTCTACTAAAAAGACAAAAATTAGCTGGGCAAAGTGGCGGGCACCTGTAATCCCAGCTACTCGGGAGGCTGAGGCAGGAGAATCGCTTGAACCTGGGAGGCGGAGGTTGCAGTGAGCCAAGATTGCGCCACTGCACTCCAGCCTGGGCAACAGAGTGAGAGCCTGTCTGAAAAAAGAAAAGAAAAGTGCCATACAATCCACCAATCCTACTGGGTATATATCAAAAACAACTGAAATCAGTGTAACAAAGAGATATCTGCATGCTCTTGTTCACTGCACCATATTCACAATAGCCAAGACATGGAAACTACCTAAGTGTCCATCGACAGATGAATACATAAATATATATGAATATTATTCAGCCATATGAAGAAGAAAATCATGCCATTTGTGACAACATGGATGAACCTGAACGACATTATGCTAAGTTGCTAAATGAAATAAGCCAGACATAGGAAGACAAATACTGTATGATCTCACTTATATGTGGAATCTTAAAAAATTGAACTCATAGAAATACAGTAGAATTGTTGCCAGAGGCTGGGGCCAGTGGGGAAGAGGGAGATGTAGATCAAAAGGTCCAAACTTTGAGTTATAAGATGAACAAATTCTGGGGACTGAATGTTCAGCATGAGTGGTGATGGATATATTCATTAATTTAATTGTGATCATCATTACACAACAGAGATAAATCATCAGGCTGTATACCTTGAATGTATACAATCTTTATTTGTCAATTAAATTTGAAAAAAATTTTAAAGAAGCTTTTCTAGGCTGGACACAGTGGCTCACACTTGTAATCCCAACACTGGGAGGTTGAGGCCAGAAGTCCAAGACCAGTGCCTAGCAACACAGAAAGACCTCATCGCTACCAAAAAAAAAAAAAAAAAAAAAAAGGCAAGAGGTTTCTCTGGTCCAGAGAAAATATAAAAACCAGCAAGAATCAATCAGCCAGTTTCCAGTTGTATCAGCATCTGAGAAAATTGGAGTTGTTATTTTTATTTATTTTTTAGTTTTGTAGTTTCCTGGGCCAAAGTAACTGAAATGCTCAAAGTGAAGTTCCATGAGGGTGTGAAAAGGGCTGGTAGTCTCCCAGGATATCAACCTGTTAGTAACCTTGACCAACGTGGTTAACAGAATGTACACGAAATGCACAGAGGTTATAATATAGATTTGTCACTAGTTCTAAATATAGTTCTCTAAATCTTACAGCAGTAATCACTACTGCAACTGCTCATATTTGAGGTCAGAGAAATCAGGAAACATAGATACGTGATTGATAGATAGTCACAAAGTAGAGAGATGGGCTGGGCATGGTGGCTCATGCCTGTAATCCCAACATTTTGGGAGGCCGAGAAGGCAGATCACTTGAGGCCAGTCTGGCCAACATGACAAAACCCCATTTCTACTAAAAATATTAATGCAAAAAAAATTTGGCCTGGCGTGGTGGCACACACCTGTAATCCCAGCTACTCAGGTAGCTGAGACATAAGAATCACTTGGCCGGGCGCGGTGGCTCATACCTGTAATCCCAGCACTTTGGGAGGCCGAGGCGGGTGGATCATGAGTTCAGGAGATCGAGACCATCCTCGCTAACACGGTGAAACCCCGTCTCCACTAAAAATACAAAAAATTAGCCCGGTGAGGTGGCGGGCGCCTGTAGTCCCAGCTACTCAGAGGCTGAGGCAGGAGAATGGCGTGAACCCGGGAGGCGGAGCTTACAGTGAGCTGAGATCGTGATCTGCACCCCAGCCTGGGCAACAGAGCAAGACTGTCTCAAAAACAAAACAAAACAAAAAACAAAGTAGAGATCCAGGATTGGAATCAAAACTGTGCTGAAATCCCTCCTCTTCCATTTACTGGTTATGTGGGCATGTTGGTGTGCCTATGTAAAAAATAAAAGAGATGGCTGGGTGCAGTGGCTCACGCCTGTAATCCCAAAACTTTGGGAGGCTGAGGCAGGCAGATCATGAGGTCAGGAGTTTGAGACCAGCCTGGCCAACATAGTGAAACCCCGTCTCTACTAAAAATACAAAAAATTAGCCAGGTGTGATGGCAGGCGCCTGTAGTCCCAGCTACTTGAGAGGCTGAGGCAGGAGAATCGCTTGAACCCAGGAGGTGGAGGTTGCAGTGAGCTCAGATCAAGCCATTGCACTCCTGCCCAGGCGAAAGAGCAAGACCCCATCTCAAAAAATAAATACAATAAAATAGATAAGGATTGTAAAGTAGATAACATAGTAACTGGCACAGAAAGTCTTAAATATAGTTCTCTTCCCTATGTTAGCTTTTAGATGTACCTAATTTTTCAAAACACCCAAGCATCGACATTCCTATTAGGAAAAGGCTCATGTTTCTTGTTGCTGTAAATATTTGGTCATTCACTTATTCATTTACTCAGCAAACATTTATTGACCAACCACCATGTGTCAGGCATTGTACTGGTTTCAGGGACCATAGGGATAAAGAAACATGATTCCTGCCCTCTGAGGTCCGGCCTGGAATTTGACCTCTGTTTTCTTCTTTATTCCAGTCGTCTTAAACTCTGCACTTTGTTCTGTGTTAAAGAATAACTATGTCACACATTGAGGGCTTGAGTGAGAGGGAGTGATCCAGAGAGTCACGAGAACAGTCCTTGGGCATCAGAAGGGCTCCCATATACTAGGAGAGAACCTCTGTAGTCCACCTTGCTACAAAGGTGTCAGATTCCTGGTTGAAATAAAAGGGAGCATTCTAAACAGAGTTTCTTCAAAATACAAAAAGGTTGCTCTGTGTGTAGAGCTCTCTATCTCCAGGGAGCCTTGTGTCTTGTTTAGCATTATCACTTAAGCACCAAAACCTAGAACAGTTCCTGGTATATAATAGGCACACAATAAATATTTGTGAAATAGATTAACGAATTATATAAGTTCACTTCAGTATAAAGCCATATATATGTGCCCAACATATCATCCTGCAGGTCAGGGCGTGTCCCTGTACATTCCTCAGGCCACCATCAATGCCACCGTCAAAGAAGACATCCTGCTCTCAGTTGAGTACTCCTGTCACGGAGTGCCCACCATCGAATGGACATATTCGTCCAACTGGGGAACGCAGAAGATCGTGGAGTGGAAACCAGGGACTCAGGCCAACATCTCCCAAAGCCACAAGGACAGAGTGTGCACCTTCGACAACGGCTCCATCCAGCTCTTCAGTGTGGGAGTGAGGGATTCCGGCTACTATGTCATCACCGTGACGGAACACCTGGGGAGCAGCCAGTTTGGCACCATCGTGCTGCACGTCTCTGGTAAGACATCCCTGGGCCCCGGGCCCCGGGCACCCCTCTGAACGGTGAGTGTGTGGGAGGTCGATTTCACAATATTAAAAGAAATGTTGTATTCCCCCTTCCCTCACCCTCACTCCATAGAGATCCTCTATGAAGACCTGCACTTTGTCGCTGTCATCCTTGCTTTTCTCGCTGCTGTGGCCGCACTGTTAATCAGCCTCATGTGGGTTTGTAATAAGTGTGCATATAAATTTCAGAGGAAGAGAAGACACAAACTCAAAGGTAACTCCCTGGGCCTTGTGATAATCCATGAGTGGTTTTGAGGCCAGAAGTGGCATGTGTTATCTTGTTCTCACCAAGAAAGCACTATGTGGCTTGATTTCCAACTCATTGACTTGTCTTTGCTTTACAGAAAGCACAACTGAGGAGATTGAGCTGGAAGATGTTGAGTGTTAGCCAAGGTTGGGCCTAACTGCATTCCTACCTCAAGAGGAAACCATTCTCCAACAAAAAGAGCAAGCACAGCTATTATACCCATTGTGTGTGGTCCTGTTGCAGCCCGCTCCTGACAGGACAGCAGGAGATTAACAACATTGACTGCATGGAGTTGAGGACTGTGGATGGACAAAGCTAGTTTTAGGACTCACGCCAAGTTCAAGGAGAAGAGTGACTGAGGCCTTGAACCAGGAGCTTTGCTTGGCTGCAGCGTCACAGCCATGCTGACCCATAACCAATGGGCGAGTGCACGCGTTGGCTGCTTGCTCACGACACTCACTCTGGCGTGCAGGATGGCCTGTTGTCAGAGTCCCTGTATCAGAGGCCAGAGGATTTCCAGATGGGTGTGCAGCCAGCATTAGAACATGCTTTCTGTGCTCCTATCTGCTCTGCAACTGCTGTGCCTACCAGTCCCCCATCTGGTATCCCACAAGCAAGCATGATTGTGGGAGCTATCGTGAGAAAACCTGAGGCTTTCAGACAATCTGCTGCCTCAGAGCAGAGGTGAAGAGACTGGGGGTGGGGGTTGGTGCTGTTGTGCTGCAGTGAGCTGCTCAGAGGTGAGGCCCGGTGGCTGGGAGTTTTATGGGGGAGGAGCTCAGTGGACTCCTGAGAGGCCAGCTTTGCATACAAGGAATAGAGAGACAATTGTCTTTCTTTTCCTCCCTCATTCCAACGTTAATTGGATTTTCCCTCCCATGGCTCAAACTTAGGCCACTGGAAGTAAAACAACAGCTCATCTTAATTGGATTTTCCCTCCCATGGCTCAAACTTAGGCCATTGGAAGTAAAACAACAGCTCATCTCTGCTATGGGCAGCACCTGGCCTCCTGAAGCACTGGATGCCACCTGTGTGAAAGCTGAGCTTGCACAGTGGGTGATGCAGCTGGAAAATCAGTCATCTCGGGCTTTGGATCTGTCCCCCTCAGTCACTAACGCTTCACTTCTCAAGTCAGGCCCTTGCCCTCTCCTACCTGGGCTGAGGAACGCTTGGCCTTTGCCTACCTCACAGTCAGGGTATCAAGAGAAGCCCACAGTATGCACAGAGTTCTCTGAGCAACTTATGAAAAGTATGAGGCTTCAAGGATCTGGAAAGCTATATTGGAAAATGCTATTCTGAGTATTAGAAATTGATAAAATCACCTAAGGTCTTGGGGCTCCAGGTGAGACTGAGGACTGGACCACAGCTGGCTGTGGCCATTATTCCCTCAGGTTGTTGGTCACCATGTTCACCTGTTTCTCCATCCCAACTTCCATTTGACAAGCTCTAAATGGAGGCATGGATTTATCTTCCATTCTCTTCTCTCTCCAATATTCATAGCTACAGACCAAAAGTACCACCCAATGATGATGTGTTCCTAGTCTTCAGCTGCAAAGTCACCCATGCAAAGGTCAAGAAGTGCTAGAACATTCCTTTCTCTTCTCCCTCCTTTCAGGTCTCCAATGTCCATATCTTTTCTATGTCCTATGTGGCAGAGAAGGATTTGCTTGGATAAGTTACAACCCTTTCCCTCAATATTGAATCCAGAGTTGTGGGAAGGGATCTCTCAGAATATTCAGACAGGAACTGTCAGTATCCAGAGCAGGACTCCCACAGCACTGCTTAATTCAAAAGGCGAGAGCAGTTGGTCTACACAACAAATGTGTAGCTCTAGCACCTGATAGATAGAAGATACCCTCAAGGTGCCTCCTGTAGACACATGTGTAAACTCACACACTGTGCCCTTTCCCCATGCAGCAGTCAAAGGAACCAGGCCCTGGGCCAGGACAGTTTCCAGTGCTGTGAAGAAACGAGGTGAGGAGTATCCAAGGGGCTCAAGGATAATCTGCTGATTTCTTTCTCGTCTTTCACACAGAGAAGCCACCAGGAGGAAAGCAGTAGGAGTTGGGTGGCTGCTGGGGGCAGCATGTCCTCTTCCACACTACCTGCCTTTCAGAACTCTGCTCTTCCACTTGTCCGAAGTCAGGGCTGGCAATCTTCATAATCAAAGGGGAGTTGGAAAAGAACATCCACTGAGAGGCCTCCACGGCAGATGTCAATTAAATTGCCCCCCAAAATCTCATGACAGTTTATTCACATCAGTAGTGTGGGAAGTTACAATTTTTTTTTAAAAAAAGCTTCTTTCCTTGGCTTTCCATTTCTTTGAAAAAAGGGTTTCTTTTGAATTTTTAAAGCTCTGCCATCCTGAACATTCCTGTGGAAAGTTTTAAAATCCAAAGCCTGAGGTTTTTGTTTATTTTTCTAATAAATAAAAATCACAGAGATTAGCTAGTATAAATGTTAAGCTACAAATTATGTTTCAAACTGTGAAAAAAAAAAGTGTTTTAAAGAATGAATGAAATAAAACCTGAAAATAAAGCCCTCATCCTTTGTGTGTGCGCCTGCTCCTGCCGAAAAATCAGAGGCTGTAGGTGCTGTGTCCTGTCAAGCTGAGCATAAACAAAACCCTTAATCACAGCCAGGTCTGGCACATATTTTAAGTGACAATGCAACTAATTACACTGGTTCTAACAGTAAACATTATTTAGCAATTCAGAAAAACTACACCTTATCAGCACCACCATTCTCCCCCAATTGTAGCTAGAAGACCAATTTGAAATTTATGCTTTCAGAATATTAACTGCAATTCAATAGCGTTCTTCCTGCTTCTGGAATGGGCCAAAAGTAGGAAGTGACGATTGTACCACTTGTTCAGCAGTGGATAAGACACCCTACAGAACACACATGCTTTGTCAACAGTATGTCCTTTCAGAGGTTATGATCTTAGAACCCCAAAAGGTATATATTGTACTTTCTCATTTTATGGTGTTGCGGGTATGCAAGGAGAGCTCATGTCCTCTGAAGGTCACGTAAGATGGTAAATACCTGAGAGCACTTTGTGCTTACTCTGATTTGAAGCAATACCTCACAAAGGTGAGAAGCAAAAGCAGTGAGAGAGAAGGTTATCAGGATATCTTGTCCCAGGCAAGAATGCAGAGAGAAACCCTACAATTCCGAAGAGTTGGGTAAGTGTAACAAGGGATTGAGAAGAGATAGCAGAATAGAATGCTGGAGAGGTAACCAGGACAAAGGAGCCAAATATGATACGGTGAATCCCCAGAGACGTGATTCACATGCTGCCTCCTTGACAACGCTGGAGAGGATACTGGGGGAAGTGGAAACTGTCTCATGGGCATCAGCTTTTACATATCCAGCATAGGTTTCTTCTGCCCAGTTTCCAGGGAAGCATCAGACACATCCATAGCTTACTAAAAGCAGAGCAAATCCTTGTGATCACTGTTAGCACATCTATCCCCAATTCAATTCCCATCAATGGTGTGAGCTGCCAGCGTTTGCATCTCTCTGCACCCCTGAATCCACCCAACCTGGCTGTCAGCTTTTCCAATTCTTGAGGAGAACATTTCCACTGCCCTTTAAAAATCAAGTGGGCATTTTTGGTTTGGCTTACAGAGGTGATAAATCCTTCTTTAAAATTCAAATGCCACTAAAGTCTATGTATATTAAAGTATCTGGCTAGAGTTAATTAACAAAAACTAAATAAAGTAAAAGATCTCTCTCCTTCCCTCAATCCAGAGGAAACAACAGTCAAATTTGGTGTGTATCCTTCTAGACTTGCTTATGCATATATGAACATATCTGTGTATATATATGCCAAATATACATATTTAACCTATTTTCTTTATAGTCAAATGGGATTCTATCATATAGATTACCCTACAACTCACCAGTCTTTTCTTAATGTGTCTTGGGCATTATTTCATGTCTACCTATTCCAAAACTTCATTCTTCTTGCCTATACAAATGCAGTCCATAGTATGAATACACTATTGTTTTTTTTTTTACAGAGTTTTGCTCTTGTCACTCAGGCTGGATTGCAGTGGTGCTGTCTTAGCTCACTGCAACCTCCGCCTCCCAGGTTCAAGCAATTCTCCTGCCTCAGCTTCCCAAGTAGCTAGGATTACAGGCGTGCACCACCATGCCCGGCTAATTTTTTTATTTTAGTAAAGACAGGGTTTCACCATGTTGGTAAGGCCGGTCTCGAACTCCTGACCTCAGGTAATCAGCCTGCCTCAGCCTCCCAAAGTGCCAGGATTACAGGCATGAGCCACCGTGGCCAGCTGGGTATTTTTGAACACACTGTAATTGTTTGTTCACTGAAAAATCATTTTGTATTTCAAATGATATAAACAAAAATCATCTTAGGCAAACTTACTATTGTATCAGGCTAGTTCCTTCAACCAAGATGGCTTCTGCCTGTTAAGTAATGCATTCAATTCTATCTCCTGTGAATCTCTTGGTCTTTTAGGGAATTCAATGTTCCACGATTTCGGTGGGTTTTACCGAGTATTGGTGGAAGATTTTTTGGAGATTGAGTATTGGTGGGAGAGAGGGTAATGATAATGTAAAATAAATCTAAAGTTTTAGTGTTAGATTTGGTTTTATAAAGTAACATTATCAAACCAAACTGGGGTCTGCTCACCTGGCACAGCAAAGCCAAGCACTGACGTTGGGACTGCAGCAAGAGAAGTGAGGTATTTATTGTAGGGCACCGAGCAAGAACTCCAACTCCTCAATGGCTTACAGGTAAGGGTTTTAAAGGTGGGGAGGCAAGGCCAGGTACAATGGTTCACACCTGTAATCCTAGCACTTTGGGAGGCCAAGGTGAGAGTATCCCTTGAGCTGGTTTGAGACCAGCCTGGCCAACATAGTGAGACCCTGACTCTACAAAATATTTTTAAAAATTAGACAGATGTGTTGGTGCATACCTGTAGTCCCAGCTACTTGAGAGGCTGAGACAGGAGGATTACTTGGACCCAGGAGGTTGAGGATGCAATGAGCAGCTGATTGCACTACTGCACTCTAGCTTGGGTAACAGAGCAAGACCCTGTCTCAAAAAACAAAAACAAGAAACTCCCAAAAAACCCACAAAGGTGGAGAGGCAGAGGTTACAGGCAAAGTCATAAATCAATACATGGAGGAGGCTGTACATTGGTTTGATCTAAAAGGTGGGATATCTCGAAGCAGGGCTCAACAGGTCATAGGTGGATTCAATTATTTTCTGATTTGCAATTGGCTAAGAAGCTTTGTCTAAAATTTGGGTCAAAGAAAAGAATGTTAGCTCCAGCTCACAGGCTTGACCTCCTCCAGGCCCCTCAGGAAGAAATTCAGAACAAAGAACAGCAGTGCAAGTTGTCCTTGCTTATCTGAGGCCCACATGACAGCAAATCCACTTGATGGGGATCTGAGATTCTGAAAACAACTCAGGGTCATATTTTAAGATGTTATCTTTAGTTTCTATAGGGAACCAAGCATCTGGACTCTTAACTTCCTTGGCAATTGTTTTAAGTTACTATTATCTTCTTGCTTATCAAGTTGCTTGTTTATATCTCAGGACTACCCCGGAAATTTCCTCGAAGGAATTCAAGATTTTCCTTAATTTTCATGCTCAGGGCGCCCACAGGCCTTTAAGAAGGGGTTCCTGCTCCATCTCACACACACACCTCGGTCAAATTCCTTTGATATTTCAGGCTCGTGCTTGTCCAGGTAGTTCCGTCTGTAAAAATATTTTTCCCTCGGGTGCCTCATGTTCTGAATGGATTTTTTTCCAACTAAACAAAGTGGACTTACTAAATAATTTAGTTGCCCCTGTTTTTATTCATCAGCAATATCTAAGGAGGCCAGGCGTGGTGTCTCATACCTGTAATCCCAGCATTTAAGGGCCAATTACAATTCCAGATCAACATGAGATAATCAGGTTATCACTCTGATTTGATGGTATTCCAGCAAAGAAATCTGATGAAAAGCACTCAATATCTTCACCATATATAAAACATCACGCAAATGTGAATACATGACATTCTGAAATGCTTTCTCCTAATAAATACAGCTGGTATCTCAACCATTTTTTCTAATTGGCTTGACTCTTAGAAGCATACTTGCTTAATGCATTATATTTACGTAGCATTTTAGAATTTAACATTTATTACCAACCTTATTGAAACTTCTCAACCACCACTGAGGTTAGTAGAGGAGGCATCTCTATCTTCATTTATATATAAGGAAATAGATTCACAGAGAAACGTCGCCAAGTTCATACAGCAAGCCAGTACTAGAGCCAAGATTCAAACACAGCTCCTTGCCAACCTATTAATACTTGTTTAGGGGCTAACTGGTTTTCTTCAAACTGTCTCCCAAGTTTCCACAGCACATCCTTCAAACTCCAGGAAATTCAGGTTAAAACATTAAACTAGAAAATGTAAATAAACATAAGGCACAAGAATTGCTACCACAGCAACTAAGCTACCATTTTCCCACACATTTGCTTTAGTTTCTACAGTTCTTTAGGTGGGTACTGGCTATTCACTACAGCGATGTGACCAAACAGGGAAAGTAAGATATGAAGACCATAAAGTCTTCAGTTATCCCAGTCTACTAAGATGGGGTTTAAAAGAACAGATGGTAGTATCTGCACATGTATTCTCAGCCATTCTACTCAAAGTGTGGTCCTGGTCCATAAATTGTTACTGATTCATGACAAGCAGAGAAATAAAAAATAAAGCATTCAGAAAAGTTTATATTTGCGGGGCCTGGGCGCTGTGGCTCATGCCTGTAATCCCAGCACTTTGGGAGGTCAAGGGCGGATCACTTGAGGCCAGGAGTTCAAGACCAGCCTGGCCAACATGGCAAAACCCTGTCTCTATCAAAAATACAAAAATTAGATGGGCATGGTGGCACACACCTGTAATTCCAGTTACTTGGGAGGCTGAGGCATGAGAATCACTTGAACTGAGGAGGCAGAGGTTGCAGTGAGCCAAGACAGTGCCGCTGCACTCCAGCCTAGGTGACAGAGTGAGACTCTGTCTTTAAATTTTAATATTTGATGCAATTTAATTAGGTTATAATCAAATAAATGGGGCTTTTATTTTGTATCATTTCAAAATTTCATTTTAGGAATTCATTTTTATTAGTTTACCAAAGTATCAATCTACAATGGTAGAAGTTTACATAAACAAAAACTGGTCATTCAGCAAAAGTCTCAGACTCACTCTACTAGTGTGAGCCTTCGAAATCACATAAAAGACTCCTCATGTGAACGGAATTGTACAGATTAGCCTATTGGCCAAAGCAAATTTTGTGGGCAACAGTAATTTTTGAAGCACTCAAGATTTTTAAATAACCGCAAATTCATACCAATTATTTTAATTTCCACGGATAGAAAGATGCAAGATCTTGATCAGAAGGGGAAAAAAGCACAAAGTTGTTCTATCATGGCCCACAAGCTCCATTTTTCTTTAATGAAAACACGGTGGAGAAATACAAAGGAATTGTATTACTGCACAGTCATCTTACAAATTGTTAAAGCAGGATGTCTGTTTTAAAAATTGAAAGACTTACTTATAAGGAGACCTCACCTATATGATATTACTTTCAGTGGTACCAAAAGGTTTATAAGCCTAAATCTATCTCATATTAATGGGCACACTTTAGGCACTATTTCCAAGAAGTGCAAACCTGTTCCTTGGAAAAGATAATCCACTAATGCATTAGTTTTTTCCCTTTGAAAAAGCAGAGAGCTAATGGAAAGGCCTTAATTGGAGAAAGCAATCCAGGGCTGCTGGGTGGAGGCTGGAGAATCCCAGGTGGAAGATTGGGCATGAGCCATGCACTAGGTGTCTCAAGTGATGAAGTCATTCAAGCGGGAGAACAGACCAAAAAATCTTGATGCCCTAAAGAGATAATCTGCCTCCTATGCCTTCAGCTGTCCTTTCTGAGGATGTTCTTAAATTACCTATGTAGGTTAGACCCAGGCAAGCTTAAAGCAGACAACTGGAGGTTAGAGAGTAGAGAGTTTAGAGAGTAGGCTGGGCATGGTCGCTCACACCTGTAACCCTAGCACTTTGGGAGGCAGAGGCAGGTGGATCACTTGAGCTGAGTTGGAAACCAGCCTGGGCAGCATGGAAAAACCCTGTCTCTACAAAAAATACAAAAATTAGCCAGGCATGGTGGTGCATGTGTGTGGTCCCAGCTACTCGGAAGGCTGAGACAGGAGGATTACCTAAGCCCGGGAGGTCAAGACTGCAGTGAGCCATGATCACACCACTGCACTCCAGACTGGGCTACAGAGTGAAATCCATCTTAAAAAAAAAAAAAAAAAAAAAAAGGTTAGGAAGTATTTTGGGGGAAGAAAAAGTATTTGGAGATTTTTTAAACCACACACTTTATGTGATGTCCACATCAAAGAAGGAATATTTAAAAAGCAAATAGAAACACTTCAGTTAGTAATATTTTAAACTGCATGAAAAACGTATTATTTTACATCTTGTCATACTGTATATACAACTGTACATAAACTTCTGCATTTCAAAGCACTTATCATTTATAAAGTGAAAAGTTTCAAAGTGCTAAATAAACATTTCCTAATTATTGTTTTTAAAAACAGCACTCCTTTGGAAGTTATCTCTTCTTTGTACTTATAGTTGATCTGCAAACATTTCAAGTCAAAGTTTCTGGAAACTTCTTTAGGAAACATCTGGAAAAAATCATAGTAGACAAGGGCTAAGTGCAGACATAAGCAGCTCCATTTTATAAACAAAGTTTCGACCTTCCATTTTATTCCACTGAACTTCTTTGAATGGTCCACGAAGATGACTCCATTTGTTATCTTGTAAAACATCACTTTTTGGAAGGTCTTTACATTGGTTACGAGGAAACTGAACCATAATCTTGCTGCCACTTTCAGGTCCGTTACGAACTGTGGAGAAAAACCAAAATATCAATACACTCTAGTTCACCAAACTAGAAATAACAAGGATAAATCCCACAACTTCATTCTACTGTGAATACAAAAACTCTGTCTGCCAACTTAAATATTCTTGTTAAAAAGTGCTT